TTAATAAAATTTTTTATAAAATTAAATATAAAAAAAATTTGCCATTAAGTTTATATATAATTTTAAAATAGTACCCTTTACCCTTAAACTAATACTAAATAATGAGGAGGTTATAGTAAAATTACTCAAGGAATTTTTTTTGTTAGTGTACGAAAGGCGGTTTCTTATATGAATTTTTGAGAAATAAACGAACGATTTTTGATAAAATTGACTTTTGTTTTGGATCTTCGCGTGTGATTAATTATTGGCTAATCTGATGTATGTCATCACGTGAAAGTAACATTTTGGTGATTTTGGTGGCGAAAAATCATGTAATGATCGACGAAAATTGGCCAATAGCAAATTATGATTTGGTGTAACAAATTCCATTTGCTAAGCAGATATTTGATGTAATTAGCCACGGTTAGCTGGTAATAGCCAGCCGATAGATCAAATGGACAAATGGACATGAAATCCTCTACCTAAGTGGTGTGTGCATAGAAATGACACTGTGATTTCAAGAACGATATAATATCATGATTTTTATATTTGCTAAATGATATTTTCAAGGCATAACTTCTCTTATATTAAAACTTTTAAATGACATAATATATAAATTTTTATTTTGATTTCGTTGATTATAATTCTCAATGCAGTTTCTATAAAAATGTCAATAAAGTCTTGGCTATTTGAAATTATAACTTGAGTTATACTTTTTTTTTAATCTAGTTAATAAATTCTTGTTCATATCAAACCGTTACTTTTGAACCTCCCAAAACCGATCATGTTAAAATAGATAACCTGTCAAATCTGATAAAAAATTAATCTGGCAAATCCGTTTCTGCTATATAACTTATACCTATAACTTATATATAATAGTTTATAATATTTTCAAATCCGATACTTTTTTAATATTGATGCAAGACCTGTCCACCATGCATATTGGTTTTGGGAGGTTCGATAGTATTATGAAAGCTTGTCTTATATTCGAAACTTTTTTTTATACTTTTTTGTTAAGCTCTATTGGTTGTCAAGAGCAATCTTTACCAAACAACCAAATATACTGGACAAAATTTAAGCAAAAAACTTAATTTTGGATGTGTTGACATTGTAGTATCATTCAGAATACAATCGCAAATGTAGTATAGTTCAGAATACAATCGCAAATATATATATATATATCATTATTGCTATATTACAGTACTAATCACGTTCAAATCAAAAATTTATCACTGCCGAAATCAAAAACTTATCGAATTGGCCAAACAATATGTCCCAAAAATAATGATAACATTTGCCACGTGGCCGAAATGGAGGTATAAATTAATAAATGCTAACTTTAACGTTAATAATAGTTTTATAGAATAGTCTTGACCAATAATAAATTAACGTGGGATTCGATCACGGCTTAGCAATAAACAAAAAACGTGGCATTCTCGATATATTAAATGGTAACGACAAATATTTGTATTGCGATTCGTCAATTTTGTTCATGTGCATGTTTAATGTAGTGGCTTAAGGTTAATACAATAATGTAGTCTCAGTTAGCGCTACTGCATATATAGTAATAACACTTGGCCTTTTTTTAATATATTCTGCTATAGACCGAATTAACAAAAACCAAATTAACAAACGTTTTATTTATCAAACAAACGTGGAGAATTTAAAATTGAAAGGATCGGATTAGAAACGTGTTAATATTTCATCTAGCAACTAATAACGAGAATGTTCAGCCAAAAAAACAATATAAATGTCCTTCAGGTGTTCATGAATCCAAACTACAATTACATTCCATTATTCAAATTATATTCAAATTAATTCGCATTATTCACGTTGTGCAGATTATTAACATCAATAATAATTAACCATAACACACGACGATAACATCAATAATAATTAACCATAACACATAACAACACAGCGAAACGATAATAATGAAATTTACCACTATATTCATATTAACAGTCATATTATTTATTGCAATTGCAATCGTCTTTGCTGATGATGACGATGACGACGATAAAGAAAGTGAGTATTGTACTTTATATCGAAAAGAAACATTTTTTCTTAATGTGAAACGATATATCATTATCATTATTTCTTAATTATTATTATCGACTAATTTTCCGATTGTTTAGTCTATTTTCTCTTTCTGGACAAACGTTCATCACTTCTAAATGAACAAAAGCGAACCAACGGAAGTTGTCCGTATCAAGAAGAAGAACGTTTCCCAAACAAACGTGTTGTCAATAAACGTGAAGCTTCTCAACACCATCTCGACTACAAACGTGACTTAGCAACTTCTTCGAGAGCTTATCATTACAGGCGTGATCTAGATGACAAACGTGAGACAACTCCACGTAATTATTGCAGACGAGATTAGGGATGGAAAGTTTGTTTAGGTTTGGTTTAGTTTCTAAACCTTTTAAAGTTCCAAATTAAAAACCCAAGATCCAGATTTTTGTATAATAAGTTCCAAACCTAAGTTAAAGCTGGTTTGGTCGGTTCACAATATTTTGTAAGACATAAAAAATAAAAATATAATAATAAAATTACTTAATTCATACCAAACGTTTAGAATAAAAATTTTTTTTGATATTCTAAATAACTTAATATTGCTAATATTGATTTATTAATAAAATTTTTATGTAAATCTATCCTCAACAAGATGAATCGAAGGATATAAAAGCATTCATTTCTAATCACTAGCTTACCAAATAATCATCCAGATGACCTTTTGATTCATAAAGAACGAGTAGATACTTAAATCTAAGATTAAACACAAGCTGGCTCGTCTTTCTTTTCTATTATAGATAAAATAAATTTTAACACCACCATATCTTATGTAATGATTAATAAAAAACAAGTTCTATGGTTCAGATCTAAGAACTTTATTATCCCTAGACGAGATTCTCGACCTAAGAACTTTATTATTCCTAGACGAGATTCCCGACCTAAGAACCTTATCATCTCTAGACGCATTAATCCATCATTATCATAAACGTGATATTTCTTCAGCACGATAGATATTACCTTATTATTACCATCTTGTTAAAAAAACTTACAAGTGACTCTTGATGTAAGAAAGTTCTTATATCGAGATTTTCTTATATCGAAGGCTTTTTATTATAAAATTTTCAATTAGGACTTAGACTTACAAAATCTTCTTATACTAATAGGTTCATATATCGAAAGTTTCTTATATCGAGAGTCACTTGTATATGGTTTTTTTACATAGCAATAGCGGCAATAAAATAAATCTCGTATTTTTTCATTTCGTACAGTATACGATATACTTGATTTATTTGAGATAGTTCAGATCAAAGAATTACGTTGTTTACGTTATTTACAAAGTTACACAATTCTTCCAGACAATTCTTTCAGACAATTCTTTCAGACAATTCTTTCAGACAATTATCAGACAATTCTTTCAGACATTTCATTATCTATTTTTTTTGTGACAACCATGTGTGAATTAGCGTGTTAAATAAAATTTGATTAACGTTAAATAAAATTTGATTAACGTTTAAATAAACTTTGATTAAAATTAAATAATCTATAAAAATTAGGCTTTTTTTTTCTATAATGACAGTTGGGATTTTTTATTATAAAATATTATCATTTCCTGCTATAAATAAACACCTTCGTTTGATCATGTGAAATTCTTCTTTGCCATTCGATAAATTCCAAGTTCTGACAAATTCCGAGTAATTTGTCTTTTTCATCGTCTAGCAGATATTCATTAGGAACCTTCGAGAATCGTATTAAAAATTCTTTTAGATTTTTTAATTTCGAAATTGCCGCTATTATATCCTGTCAAAACCAAATAATATGTGAGGCTTGCGAAATTTTTTTGTAAAAAAGAAAAACTTATAATAAATAACGTACGGCTTTTGCTAACTCTTCGACGTCAAACAATACTAATTTATATAAATCCAAATTGCCGCAAATGATTTCCAATGTCAACTTACTCAATTCAACACCAGACAAAACTAGTTCTCTCAATTTTTCCTTCCTATTAATAAAATAATCAATTATCATGCCTAAATCAACTTCATATAAAGCAATATATAATTGATTTTCGGATGCTTCTATGCAGCTGTCTAGTGGCCTATCCACTTTATTAATTGAAATTTTAGAACATTTTGTAAAATGTTTTGCCGTTGCAAGTGCAAGTTCTGTTGTTATCTCATGCATATTAGTGACATTAAGTTTTGTCAGTTTCGGACAAAATTTGAAAATTTTTAAGAGCACTTCTTCACTAATACAAATACATTGATGAATCTTCAATTGTGTTACTTGGGGAATTTTTTCAAAAATAGGTATTATCATTTGGTCTTCGTAATTTTTTTCTTCAATATCCAACCTTTGAATCTTTTTACATCGTTCAACTATTCGAAATAATACTTCTCCAAAACAAGAAATATCTTTTTTTAATTCTAACTCTTCCAAACGAGGACAATAATCTGCTATTACATTCAT